GGGACTGCAACAGGTGGATCTCCGGGTTCCAGGATCGCCATGTATCGTGTCTGTACTACTTTTGGATGCCGTGGATCAGCTATCATGAAAGCATTCGATGATGCAATTGCAGATGGGGTTGATGTTTTATCTCTATCACTCGGTTCATCACCTGGACTTGAACCTGATTTTCCAACCAATCCTATTGCCATAGGAGCATTTCATGCCGTAGAAAAGGGCATTGTTGTTGTTTGCTCTGCTGGAAATAGTGGCCCTGGCCCAAAAACTGTTGTCAATACAGCTCCTTGGATTCTTACTGTTGCAGCCACCACCATTGATCGTGACTTCGAGACAGATGTTCTCTTGGGTGGAAACAAGTTGATTAAGGTAAAGACTAACAAACTTTCTTCTGTACATTGCTAAACATCAATCCTCAGCTTTGCCTGTCATGTTTATCTATTTATATACTTGGTATCCTCGTTGAGTTTCAGGGTGGAGGTATAAACTTTGGTAACATGACAAAATCAACAGTCTACCCCTTGATTCATGGCAATTCAACCAAATCAAACGATAATGTTTCTGAGGCAGATGCAAGGTAAATGGAAGATCAAGAACGTTGAGTAACTTTTTAGTTACAAAAAATAGTTTAGTGACTGGTGCAATAATGTAAAAGTTGAGTGACAATCTATGAAATTAACCCCCTCCCCCCCCCAAAAAAAAAAAATGAAACGGTTTATACATATAACTTAAAATGGTGGTGTTTCAGGAGTTGTGTTCCTGGTTCATTAGATGAAAACAAAGTCAAGGGGAAGATTGTTCTTTGTGAAAATCTTGATGATGGCGAATATTTTCCCAGTGACAAGCTAGACGAAGTGAAGAGTCGAGGTGGAGTTGGATTTATACTAATAGATGATGATGAAAGAACTGTGGCACCTAAATTCAAAGCCTTCCCAGCGGGTGTAGTCTCTAAAAAGGATGGTACTGAGATCCTCGCCTACATTAACTCGACAAGGTAATCACTGTTATTTTCCAATAGAAGGCTATATTTCAAGGCTTAATTGTTATTTTCTATTTGCTGCATATATTTGCCAAGACTCTTTTTAATCTGGATTAAGACTTGTATGACAGTATAACAGTTACTGTTAATTTAAGGACAATTGTGAGATTTATCGGACAGACAGAATTCCCTTGGTCTAATTTTTTTGGGACCTCAGGGTAGATTTTGACTCTATCTGACAACGAGCTAATGAATCCTCTTCTCGGTTCCATTGCCAATCAAATTCGTCGTAATACTCCTAGTTTTTTTAGAGTACTTTTACTTTAAAAGACTTAATTATCTGGTATTGGAATGAAATGGACCCTATAAAAGATTCTTATAGTAGACTCCAAGAAATTTGGGATTTGATATAATTGATTGGTTTGATATAGTTCCTAAGTGCACAAACAGTTAACAATTCTTCAACATTCTGAAGGAATCCAGTTGCATCAATTTTGCCAACTATTTCCATAACAAAGTACAAACCAGCTCCAGTTGTTGCTTACTTCTCATCAAGAGGTCCTGCATACAATACACCTAACCTCCTCAAAGTAAGGCCAACATTTCATCTTTGATTGTATTCTTAACGGAAGTTTCGCTAGGCGCAGTAAAACATGGGCTAAATGGATTTTCATTTGTTCTTGTAGCCAGATATTACAGCACCAGGGGTTGCCATTCTTGCTGCTTGGCCTGGAAATGACACGAGTGAGGCTCTCCCCGGCCAAAAACCACCAATTTTCAACCTACTCTCAGGCACTTCCATGTCCTGCCCTCACGTTTCTGGCATTGCTGCAACGGTCAAAGCAGTGAACCCAACCTGGAGTCCTTCAGCTGTCAAATCAGCTATTATGACCACAGGTAAAGAACCTAATAATAGTAAACTATAGTCCACTGTTTTTTTTAATGATACCGTTGCTTATTCCAAGTTTCGCTTCAACAGCTATTCAGACAAACAATTTGAAGGCTCCAATCACTACAGTCTCAGGATCCAAAGCAACACCATATGACATAGGAGCAGGAGAAGCAAGCACTTCAGGTCCATTAAAACCAGGTCTAGTCTACGAGACAGATGTCGCCGACTACTTGCAGTTCCTCTGTTCTGTTGGCTTTAACATATCACAGATAAAGCTGATCTCAAGTACAGTTCCTAAGGACTTTTCATGCCCAAAAAACTCAAGCTCTGAATTGGTTTCTAACATGAATTATCCTTCAATAGCTACTTCTAGTCTCAAAGAAAACGAGCCCAAGAAAGTTACTAGAACTGTTACAAATACTGGTGAAGAAGCATCAGTATATACTGCAATTATTGAGGCACCAAAAGGATTGGAAGTCCAAGTGATTCCAACTAAATTGGAATTTACAAATAAAAGGAAGAAAGTAAGCTATGATGTATCTTTCAAAGCCTCATCTACCTCAAAGGAAGATCTGTTTGGATCAATTACTTGGACAAATGGTAAGTACAAAGTCCGGAGTCCATTTGTCGTAAGTAGCAACTAACACAAATCAATGGGAACATTTTCAGACCTATAAGTAGTCTAGAAAGTTTGTATGCAATGTTACAAATCCATGAGCACAATCATGTTATCAACCTATCATTGTAACAACAAGAGTAATCATGAATAAAATATTGTTGTGACAGAAACTATATCCAATTTTGAATATCACAAATGTGCGTCAGTCAATTCCACTACAAGTTAATTTGCGGTGAGAGCATAAAGGTTATCTTTATAACTGTTTCTATCCCACGAAGCTCATCTTCTACATCACCATGTTTGGAACCAGATTGCTTGATATTATTGACAATTAGGCCTCTTGAGCTCCCTCGTTGTGGTCCGTCCCTTCCCCGTACCCCGCGCATAGCGGGAGCTTAGTGCACCAGGCTACCCTTTAGCGGAAACTTAGTGCACCGGGCTACCTCTTGAGTAAGTATGCATAGAACAACAGTAAAGATCCTTGATATTGATAGGCTAAATTCACGTATTTAATCCCTTACACGAAAAGCAAGAATTTGCTTGGTGCAACTTTCTAAAACAGAACAGTGAAAAGAAACCAAAAAAAAATACCAAAAACGAAAATCGGCAAAATACATAAGTTATCACCTTACCTATGGACCAAATTCCTGTTATACACTTTTTGCGGACGAAAATAACTTTACACACTCAAACTTTTTAGAGTGTGTCTAATACACATTACTCTTGCTATGTGGCAACGCGCGTGTTTAACAAAAATTGTAAGCATGTTAAACGTGAAGAATTTTTGTCCCAGTTCTTACTTAAAGGACACGTGTCAAAATGTTAATTTTTGCTTTTTTAAAAAATATTTTGTTTCCCTTCACTTTTAACCCACCCCCTCCTTGTTCTTCTTCTCCAGAACCCCTCCCCTATGTGTTCGTTGCTGACCTTTCCCCCTTTTCCCATTTTCATCTTCTTCCCTACCCTTTTTCCCTATCTTCTCTGTCCAAAATTTTAAGAATAACAATAATATAAAAAGGCTTTAGAAGAAATTGACAAAAAAAGTTAAAAGGAATCTATATAAGAGAATTTTATAGATTTGGGTTTGAATCTTAATTTATTAGGCACAACTTAGGAACACAGATTTAATGTGGTAGGATATTAATTTTGTGGTTGAGGGATATCGGAGATGAGCCAAAAGAAGCCGAGATTTGACTGACTCTATCGGAGTGAATCGAGCAGTCATGGATCTCGCCATAACCAATTTTAATGGAGTTTTGAGTTTTGCATCCTATTTCTTGTGTTAGATTTGAATCTGGACTCACAAAGTCGTGACTAATGTACTTGCGTTTCTGATTTTGCTTTGTAATCGGAAGGTGATAATTGTGGATGTTTTTATGGTTATCACCATAGATAATGTACTGATTATACATAAATTATACTAATATTATACATCTACCGGCAATTTTATTTTAATCAGTTCAGTGAGTGACTATTTAGGTTAATTCTTCTTATATTTATATATGTTATACATCCGCCAGCTATTTTTAGTTTAAATAATAGAGTGACCAGTTATTCTTTGTTTTTTGTTTTACTGAAATCAGAGAAATGCTAAAGTTGGGATAAAAATATTATGGAATTGCAAGGCCAATTAAATATAGTTCCACCTCGTACTGAAATAGTTAACGTATATTTTAATAGATACTCTTACCTCCAGTGGAGAAGCAATTGAGATACTCAAAGACTGGGTCAATATAATATCATGGATTCGAAATCTATGGGTTAGAGATTTTAAATTCTTTAATTTATTGAGTTCTAAATTAATAATTTATACATATATTTAATGTATTTTATAAGACAAATACATGATTTGCACCAAAGCCACTGAGTTCGGCCGAACCCGTAGCTCCTAGTGTACCTCCGCCCCTGATCATGTGCACCACTGAGGTAAGGAAAAGAGTTAAATATAATGTGCTGATTCGCAAGTTCGCAGAAAGAAAAGACTAGACAGATACATTCTTAGTATTGACTATTGAATCAATCATGTGCAGTCCAAAAAGAGAACATTAAAAAAAGAACCCAACTGAAAAATAGACAGCTCAGAAAACTGTCTGTTCTTAAGATTCAAAACGAGGAAATTAACAGGAAGTTCTGACATTTGATTCATTTTGAAGAATACAATGCTGAGGTAATTAATAATATGATTAGCAGGACAAGAACCAAAGGTCCACCTCACAAAATAGTAGTATGGATTACGCGGAGAACACTTACTTTTTCTATTTAATTAATTCTCTTTTCATGATCTGACAATGCTAAGCTCACTACGATTATTATAGTATTATGATTTATGACAATTAATCACATGATCATTAAAAATAGCCCACCACATTAGATTTGTTCCACTAATTGATGAATTCTTGGCGCAGCTAGCAATGGGTACACGTTGGAGTACACTAAACAAGATTATTAAAACAGATATGAAGATCACAGAGCAGATCAAGCTTTTAATTTCCACTATTTAAAGGATACTTTCATCAACTGAACTTGTATCAAGTTTTGGCATAAACATGAAAAGGGTTACTTTAGTTTTCTTGTTTAGTCTCTTCTTAGTTTATTTTATAAGAAAATCCAAGGCAGTTTCTCAAGCAGAAGGCCATGGCGTTTACATTGTTTACATGGGTGCCACGGGTTCATCGAATGATGTCGTTAGAGATGATCAAATTCAGCTTATGAGCTCCCTGACAACAAGGTAATTGTCTTGTAAACTATAACTATGTGCAACATTCTGGACTATGATAAAGTTGTAATGTTATCACTTGTCACAAACTTGCTTGCTAGTAACTTTTATTAGTCCATTAAATACCATAGTTTGCTCAAATTTTAGTAATAGTAAACGTACACTGATGTACTTTGACATGGTGCTAAAACTATTGCGCTCACATACCTTTTGACATCCAGTGTAAACTTAGTATAAATATATGTTTTTCGGGATTCTTTAACCATTTATATGTAAACACACACACACACACATTGTGAGCTGGAGCAAATGTGTGCATCAGACCACACTGCCAGTTACCTGCATCTAGAGGCGGATATAATACTTGAGCATCAGTTTCATCTGAACTCAGTACTTTCGACGCAGAATATAAATTTATGTGTGAAAATCTTCAAAAATTACAACAAACAGTAGATCTAAACCCATGATTTAAAAATACAATGCGTTCAACGCTAAGAACTTATAGGTTAAACTCATAGAACTTAAGTCATAAATCCGCCTATGCCTATATCATGTGTCTAGAAGTAGAACCATTGTAATTCATGCAAAAGTTCCATCTTTTTAATTTAACGTTATAAATATTGCATTAGGAGAAAGAACGCAGTGGTGCTTAGCTACAGAAATAGTTTCTCAGGATTTGCAGCACGTTTGTCAGATGCTGAAGCTCAATCGATTGCTCAGCAACCCGGAGTTATCTCTGTTTTCCCTGATCCAGTATTTCAACTCCACACAACACGGTCATGGGATTTTTTAACGGATCAATATAATCTGGTACACAGTTTCCCTAACAGTTCTGGACCAAATTCAACCTCAAATGGAGTAGACACCATAATTGGGATTTTTGATACTGGTAGGAATCAAAATGCTAATTTTTCTTGCTCTTTGTTTTTCCCTTGAGACACTAATAAACCAATGTGTCTCATACTATGTTTAGGAATATGGCCTGAATCAGAGAGTTTCAATGACAAGGGTATGGGTCCAGTCCCATCTCGTTGGAAAGGCACTTGCACCAAAGGTTATGATTTCAATTCTTCCAGCTGCAACAGGTAATGGTCTTAGTTGAGTTATTGTCCCATATAGACTATGTAAAGTTTTCTAAAGTCTTATATGCAAGGGCGGGTGCAGCTTTTGGTTACCATGTTCATATGAACCTAGTATTTTCGATGCAGTATATAAATTTATATGTAAAATCCACTAAAATTGCAAAAAAATAATGTACATGAACCCATAACTTAAAAATATAATGGGTTCAATACAGTGGCGGAACTAAGTAGTGTCAAGGGGGTTCGAACTTGCGAGCGAGTGTCGATCGCTCCATTGCCTGGGCAAGATCTGACGACTCCTGTCCCTCTCCTCTCCAAAGGCCAAGGGAGAGACTGCAAACCGAACCCCCTTCCTCGGAAAACTACACTATACAAATAGAGTAAAATGATCTTTTTAAGTTATATATAAGCTGTTTAATCCCCTTGACACAAAGAAAAATTCAAATATAGTAGTAAAAGGGGTTCAAAATTGCTTTAGGTCATAGGTTTAAGTTCCAAGTCTGACATCCTAGAACTTTTTTGAATCTCCTTGGGTAAAATTTTAGTTCTGCCACTGATTTAATGCTAAAAACATATAAAGTTGAACCCATAAATCTTAAATCTTGGATTCACCTCTGCTTCTATAGAGTCCTTGGGCACCTCTATCTATTGTTTTAAGATTTTGGATGTGATGCTCATATTTATTCCCTGGTCAGCCAACCAAGTACCTAGATAGGTGTATCAGTTTATGAGATGTTTCACTGTCTACATTCATGGAATGTATCAGGAAACTGATCGGCGCAAGGTTTTACGATGACCCTGGCAACTCTCCAACACCTGTTACAGGGACACCTAGGGACCATGACGGGCATGGTACACATGTTGCAGCTACAGCAGCAGGGAGTCCAGTGGCAGGTGCATCCTATTATGGGTTAGCAACAGGAACAGCCAAGGGTGGTTCTCCAGGGTCAAGGATTGCAGTTTACCGTATATGCACGCCTTATGGATGCAGTGGATCTGCTATTATGAAAGCATTTGATGATGCCATTGCAGATGGGGTTGATATCATAAACTTATCAATTGGTCAACCAGCTGGAGCAGAGTTTGAGTTTTCAACAAATCCTATAGCCATTGGAGCTTTCCATGCTGTAGAGAAGGGCATTTTTGTCGTTGCCTCTGCTGGAAATGATGGCCCTTCACGAGAAAGTGTTGTCAATGTTGCTCCTTGGATTTTCACAGTTGCTGCTACAACTATTGACAGAAACATTGAGACACATATTCCCTTGGGAGGGAACAAGCTGATTAAGGTACTCAAAAGAAAAACACTGTTATTCTAAACACAATCTTTTCAAGAACATCTTTCAATAGTACCCTTGTTGATTTTCAGGGTGGAGGTATTAGCTTTAGCAATCTCAAGAAATCTCCAGTTTATCCATTGGTGGACAGTAAATCTGCAAACTTAACTATGTATGACGGGGAGGCAAGGTAATTGGAAGATTGAAATACATTAGTTCCCATTTCTGGGGTCTACCTAGGAAATAGAATTGTACTTACCTGCAACTAACTTTAGGCAAATTTCAGTGACTGTGAACCAGATACACTCGACGAACACAAAGTCAAGGGTAAAATTGTTCTTTGTGATCATCTCAGTGATGATTTTTCAATCGAAGATAGGCTAAATGAAGTGAAGAACAAGGGCGGCATTGGATTTATATTAATTATTCCTGATGATGAACTCATAGTGGCACCCAAAATGGGATCCTTCCCAGGGGCAGTAGTCACTCAACATGATGGCGTGAAGATTCTTTCGTACCTCAACTCGACAAAGTACTAACTTTACTTATCAAGAAGCACTTGATATAACATAGCAAATTGTTAAGATAGAAAATTGCTAACTGCACCTTCATATTTTCTCAAGGAACCCAGTGGCAACAATTCTGCCAACTGTAAGTGTAGATAATTTCAAACCAGCTCCTGTTGTGGCTTTCTTCTCATCAAGAGGCCCTGCATACAACACTCGAAACCTCCTAAAAGTAAGCACTCCTCATTCTTTTTTCCCTCCAATTTAGACCATTGCTCGATTTGTGTCCCTTGCGCAGGGCCATGCTAGTCTTTTTTTCTAACCCCCAATTTTATTGGATATCTCCAAAGGAAAAGTAAGGACTCGTACTACTTACATACTTATGTTATAAATCAGAACCTACACTCCACACCAGATTTCTAGTAGATCACATACTGAATGGTTCTGACATGTACTTGCAGCCGGATATTGCAGCACCAGGGACTGCAATACTTGCTGCTTGGCCAGCAAATGACACAGAAGTGGCTCGGTCTGGCCAAGAACCACCACTATTCAACTTCCTCTCAGGGACTTCCGTGTCTTGTCCTCATGTTTCTGCTATTGTTGCAACACTGAAATCTCAAAATCCCACCTGGAGTCCTTCAGCAATCAGATCAGCTATAATGACCACAGGTAGCAACCTGATAATAGTTAAAGTATGCCAATGCCACCACTGCTAACTCTTGTGAAAATAGTCTTATTCTCTTCTTTTTTCGCTCTTTTCTTTTTAATAGCTTTTCAGGAAAGCAACTTGAAGACTCCAATGTTAGTCAACAGTGCATATGGAGAATACCTTGCCGACCCATATGACTTTGGTGCAGGAGTAGCAACTATGTCAGGACCACGGGAACCAGGCCTGGTTTATGAGACTGAGATCACAGACTACTTGCTATTCCTCTGCTCTGCTGGCTATAACACATCAACAGTTAAATTAATCTCAAAGACAGTTCCAGACAGTTTTTCATGCCCCACCAACGCAAGCGCTGAATCAATGTCTAACATGAACTATCCATCAATAGCTGTTTCTATGTCCGAGGAAAGAGAAACCAAGAAAGTTACCAGAACTCTAACTAACTTTGGTAAAGAAGAATCAGAATACACGGCAATCATAACAGCACCAGATGCATTGAGAGTCCGAGTGCATCCAAGCAAATTGAAATTTACAAGTAGCACGAAGAAACTGAGCTATCAAGTGACTTTCAAAGCAACATCTAGAGAGAGAGAATTTTTTGGATCAATTACATGGGCCAGTGGTAAGTACAAGGTTCGAAGTCCATTTGTTGTCTCTTACTGGTAATATTATCAAGCATCTGAAACTCAACCAGTCCGACAAATGGGTTTATGCAATGCAATGCATCCACGAACGTTGTGTCAACAATTTATTTGTAACTCATATGAATCATGAATAAAAGGTTCTCAATAGAGAAACTGTATCTAGCTCATAATATTCTTTTTTAATAAGAATTTATTTCATGATATTACTTAATACAGTTAGCGTAACTGGTAAAGTTGTTGTCATGTGACCAGGAGGTTACGGGTTCAAATCGTGGAAACAGCCTCTTGCAGAAATGCAGGGTAAGGTTGCGTACAATAGACCTCGGACCCCGCGCATAGCGGGAGCTTAGTGCACCGGGCTGCCCATTTTTTTACTTAATGCAGTACCTTCCGCGGTAATAAAAGAATCTAAACAGAAGCAATAACTGATGAGAACAAAAAGATGGAAACTTCAAGGTAAATGCACATGAATGCACTATGCGGAAAAACAAGTAAACTTCGGGACAACATTAACTCCAAGAGAAAAGAAGAAACAAAACAAAGCCAAGCAGTGCCATACCAATAAAAAGTCCAGCTTTTATCAACTAGATAATGGAGAAAGCAACAAATACATCTCAGAACCAAAAGGAAGTTATTCTATGGAAGATAAGAGATTTTAGTTATAAGGATACTTCACCACAGAGCGAACTTGTTCCCTGAGAACCTCATTTCTTTCCTTCAGGTGGGAGGTTGTTCTTATTGTTAAATGTCGCTTGCATCCATGTTTCAGATTTTAAAGTGCTGGAATATATCATTCGATTGACTATTTTATCTTATACAATATAGACATTTCATTTTTAATTATCGATGGTAGTGATAAATTAAGGATACACCACAATGTTCATAATATACTAATTTCTCCTTAGGCGACAGTAACAGAAAACTAGTTAAAGGAAGTAGTTTCATTCATCTCTCATTTTGGCAATAGGAGAAAAGTATCCAAAACTTGGCTTATTATTTTTCCTATCATCCGTTCTAGTGGCAGCATTTCCTGATCTATTGTGTCACCTGTTCTAGTGGGAGCATTCAGACTTTGCTTCATATTGCAGATATTGTGTTGACATTTTATATGATATATATAGTTAGCGTGTACAACTGTAGCGTGAAACAATCATAGAGCAGTACAGCTATTGGATTCCAACTAAGTGCATAAACATGATTTTCTTTCAATCTCAAAAGCACAAACGCCATAACATATGGCATGTAATGAACAGAAATGAGATGCACAGAGTTGCAAAGTTGCTCAGACTACAGACATTTGCTGTGTAAGAAAGTTCTATCAATCAAAATCCAGAGATGAAGCAACTGATCAAAGATGATTGGACGACAATGCAGTTGGTTTGACCTTGCTTCTGATGTTTGTAAATTGCAGAGGTTACAGAAAGCAAATCCTGTTTAAATAAAATTATCGACATACTTTTTGAGGATCTGATCAACAAGGATCCTGTAACCTTTTTCTGTGGGATGGTAACTATCCCAGAATAAATATTTTGTGTCATCTTCACATGTTCCACTGTATTTATTGCACAGTATTACCACCTCTATGTTTCCAGTACCACAGCATCCTCTATCTACTACTTCAAATCCTGACATCATACAGATTTTATACGAGGTCAACTCTCACAATTATATATTCAACAAAAGAAAAATTAAAAATACATTTTACGGTTTTGAGTTGTTAATGGTGACGAATAGATCACTTCTTTTTTGGGAACATGTGAAAAACGTTTTCATCAAATCAACAGAAAATGTATCATGACCTTCAATAACTTGATTTCTACCCTTATACCCCCAACCCCCTGTCTACGTTGCATCAGGGGGCGAATATTCGCTCCCGGCAGCGGATGCAGGCTTATCCACTATCTCCTTTTTAAAATAATTGTGGTGTCCAGGTCAACTTGCACGCACCTCGACGAATTTCATTAGGTACCTGCTACCTCCCACCAGGACAAGTATCGGATACCTCTTCAGATATCTCCTACTTAAACTATATATATAGCTGAAATATTTTAACAAATATACATGTATTAAGTTCAGACCATTTTAAAAGAATATTAGGCTTGGTATTCTACAAACACTGAATAATTGTTACATGGAAATTTAGTAGTTTCACTTCACTTTATGAGCCGCAAAAGAGATTAAGAGCCTAGAGTACCAATTAGTTCCCACTTAAATCATATTCAAGATTGAAGATTATCACAGGTAACACAAGCTTGAATATACAGTTAAAAAATCCCAAGCAATCAAGAAATATGAATTGAGAGAAGATTTATATTTACCATGTTTTTGAGGGTTGACAATGAGATCAAGCAGAGAACTGTAGATATCAATGAAAACCAACTTGGTTTGAAGAAAATTTTTGGACAATGAATCAATTGCAGCTGAGAGCTTAGTGTTGGCTAACTGTGCAGCTTGATTGTATTCCTCTGAACACTCTCTTGATATACCTCCACCTAGTGTTCTCTGGGAAGGCAAACACCCTATGGGTGGAATTCCAAAAACCGCTATTTTTCTTGCCCCCAATTTGTATAATTCCTTCCAAAAGAAACACAAAAAATGACAAAGATTATTTGATTGATCAACTTAGAAATATAGTTTATCACAAATACTGATAACCAAATTGAGAATCGGGTGATGTACCATATGTAAAATGTTAAATTAGGTAAAGCTCATAATAATGAAGAAACCCCATGTATTCATCCATTATAAATTGAACATATTCTATACTTGGCTCAATTCTGAAAATTACAATACTAAAATACATATAATCACTGTTTAGATTTTAGATATATTTGGCTTGGAGAATTACATAATATTATTCATAATTAATCTTTCTCATTCACATAATCTAAAATCTAGTGAGAAAATTTTACTTTAGATTAATGAATTTTAGGATTTATGAGCTAGAAGCTTAACTATTCGAGGTGGAACATCTTGCTTTTCATTCATTCACAAGCATCATAATTTTAACTATGAATTGGTCATGCTAAATAATCGTCGCACAACTGTGTCGTATTTGATTATAATAATCACTTTTTCATTCTATAATTACTACTTGTTCCATCTTAATATGTTTGGCACTTCTAGTTCACCAAGGATCAATTAATTTAAGCAAAGCTAGTTAATTGGATCAGGTTCATTATGCAATTAAAAGAACCTACACATTTAGATATTAGAATACTCCTTAGAAGCTTTTATAGTCATACAAATGTTATGACATGTTTAAGACTACATATTTCAAAAGTCTTCATTTTTTCCATAACCTCCTGCCGAGTCAAATTATATGTCATATACTAAATTGGAAGGGAGAGAGTAACTAATACTCATGTTTGGCACTTGTCATTTATCAAGGAAAGATCAATTTAACCCGAGCAAGTAAATTGGATCAGATTAATTATGGCAATTAAAAAAACCTACACATTTAGGAAGTAGAATTAAAGAGAGTAAATATAATTAAGATGATGAAATAGGTGTACATACTTGAATAAATTCAGAAGCTCCGGCGGCCATAAGATCAGTGTATCCGTTAACATCATACTGTAGCCGTCGAATTCCGACGGTGAAGTAGGTATTGGCCAGGTCATCGCTGCCGGCTACCACTAAGAACACGCTATTCCTCAATATGTCGTTCGCTTCTTCTTCTCCAACTAATTGCTTCAGCTTCCCAATATATTCTCTAAAATGATCTAATTGTGTTGACAGAGATATGACTGACTGAAATTTCCAAAATAAAGCGGGAATTCAAATTGTTAGTTCCCACAAATACAGTACCCTCAATCCAAAACAGGAAAAAAAGGAGAAAGGGCCAATTGCCAATTTCGCCTGTGAACCACTTTTACTTGTCCTTTGAGAAATAATAATAAATTAATTATATTTTTTTTTTTACCATAATACCCACAATAATAATAGCTTTGAGAAGTAATTTGGAGAAAGAGTAATTAATAATAAGGGTAAAACATGAAACACCTTTTTATTTTTCTTTTGATCGGACAAGTAAAAATAAAAATATATTTTTAGTAAAGTGGACAAGTAAAAATGAACGGGGGAATATTTGAAATATGACAGTTTTGTTCTTCTTTAGCTAAATTTTTCCTGAACTATTACATTTTGGTAAGTACCCCTTCGTACTTAAGCAGGGATCTCGGGTCCGAGCCCTGAGTATAAAGTCGTCTTTGTTAGGAAGCGTTTTATCCTAGTGTAGGATTTTTTTCGGACGCCGAATGAGGAAAAAGTAGGAAGAATATAAAATTATCTAATTTCATTGTGAATTTTGACATAAATTGTTAAATATTTTTAAAATGGAATTATATTCTTAAAGATATCATGTAAAAGGTTCTATAAAGTGTATGTCTTAAAAGAACTACTCGGAAAATTTAAGAAGACGAAATGAAAAAAGATTACATGATCTTTCAAATATTAAGTGTCATACAAAATGGATTAATTGATATAGTTTTACATTTGATCAAAAAGATATACTCTACAAATTAAAGTGAGTAAAATACCACAAGGGCAGGCGTTTGAGGATCAAATCCACTAGCTCCTGAAGCAAAGCTTACTCCAGTTTTAAGATCTTCAGTTTGCAAATTAGGATCAAGATAAGCTGGCATCAGTTCTTTAATTCCCAGTTCGTCCACTGCAATGAATATCAAAGTCAAACTAAAAGGTAAAAATTTACTAGCAGTAAGGATTTATATTGAATGTTAAGATGTTAACCACTAACAATTAAATTTTTTATATAATTAGGTGGCATAAAAAACCAAACAGCAGGAAACTATGTACATTGAGTATGAGTTTACACTGTTGTAAATTAAGCTTAAATTATTAGTTTAAATCATTAATATAGGTAAAAAAAAATTGTAACGATTTTATGTGGAAATTTAATTTCTGCACCAAAATAACAAGTCTTTATTTATTGAAAGAAGCTGGGAAACTAATTGTTGATAAAAAGCACATTTTATTGGGATATTCCTGAAAACGAGTCAAATGTTAGCATGAATGAGAGAACTAATTACTTCAGAAAATAAAGTAAAACTGTAAAAGATAATATGCACGTGCTGTTAGTGAAAGTTAGATTGTTCATTTTGTAAATCTCCTCACCTATTTTCTATTTCCCTACCCCTACCCTTACCTACCCCATATGTATAATTTT